GTGACACGGCCGCAGGAGAAGAGAGGTCCAACGTGGGGTGGCAGAGGGCAGAGGCCCTGGCAGGATGGGGCGGACCTGGCGTAGAGATGAACCCTCGATGTGAAAACCTGACTTCTAGCTCTGGCCCCGGAAGGGCCTAGGCACAACGCCCAGCAGCAGGGGGCACAGTCGGTGCCCAGGCCGTGGCCTCGGACACTGCTCCCCACTAGCAGGGGCCAGCACCCCTCAGAGAAATGGCTAATCCCAGGACTGAGCCGGGACAGGACCGGACCAGCCTCCAACAGCCTGTTGTGCCAGAAAGTGACAAAGTGTCCACAACCGACGGGCAAACAGCAAAACCCGGAAGCCAGCTTGGAGAGTGCTCCTGGTCACACCTCGGACAATTAAACAGCAAAGTGAAGAATGACAGGAGTGGGTCTCACCCCTGATTCGCACTGACATGAGGTAAAGAGGGGGCCGACTAGTAAACACGGGAGCAACGGCGAGCTCTGCAGCCATGACAGTCAGCACTGGCGCGTGCGAGCCGCCCGTGGCGGGCGAGCCGGAGGGGCAGTGACTGTGGAGTGAAGCCATCTTAGTCTCAAAGCCCCACCCACAGATGAGTCATCACCTTGAACAAGACTGAAGTTACGACCCAGTAACCCGTGAGCATCACAACGACGGGACAAGGCAGCAGCCGGTGCCCCTGCGGGGACGCACTGCGGGGGACACAGCATCGCAGCTGGCCACAGGGCTCCCGCCAAAGCGCTCCTGCATCACATCACGAGGAAGTAACCAGACGCGCCCAACCTGAGGGCGGGGCCTTCCACAAGCTGGCGCTGTGAAAACAGAGAGGCTGGAGAGCGAGTCCCACTCAGGAGAGTCAAGCGACATCCAGTTAAATGCCACGTGCGATCCTGGAAGGGGCTGGGTGTGGGGTAAGAGGACATTACTGCATACCCGGTCAGATCTGTACACGGACTGTATACTAAATCAAGCATCGGATCAATGTTAAGTGTCTGGGTTTTGATCATCATACTGCTGTGTAAGAGATGTCCTCGTTCTAAATTCACCCTAAAGAATGTAGGGGCGAAGGGTCACTCCCAGCTTACTCTCAAATGCTTTGGTAAAAATAAACACAGGCAGATCCCGAGAGGAAGTGGCAGAGCAAGTGCGGCAAATGCTGTGACTCCAGAAGGGGATTCAGGGGCCCACTGGCCTAGACCTTCGACCTGTCTGTGGCTTTGGAATTCTTCTAAACAGCCGGGGAGGGAGGCTCTGGGAGGTCTGCACAGCTGCCTGCCACACCCCACTCACAATGCCTTTTTAAAATCGTTTAGAAGAAAGGACACACCTCCTTCTCATCTAGCTCAGAGGGTGGCCCTCTCCAAGCCATGGGAGCCAGGGAGGATGGGGACTTTCCTTTATAAAGCCATGTTTGGATTGCTGGTCTTGTGTGAACAAAAAGAATTACGTTCCAGGATACACAACACAGACTCCACACTCCTCCAGGGCCTCGTGACAGTGGGCCAGCATGAGTCACGGGAGAGCCTGGGTGTACAGAGCCAAGGACAGTAACCAGGCCTTGATGCCTGCCAGCACAGCCAAGGACAGGGCAGGCTTGCGATGTAAAGGGCACATCAGTGTCCCAGTCTTCACTCAGGTCATTGCAAAAGCTGGGGGAGACCACCACGATCTCTCACCTCACGCAGTAAGGCAGGAAAATGCACCAGCACTGACTCCTGCTTCAAGGCCAGGCAGCATTTGATTTCTCCGAGAGGTCACTACACCTCTTATCTCATCACGGGCTGCAGAAAACCAAGCGCTTAAAGCCAGAGCTAACGAGATGTCTGTGATTCTTAAGTCCAATGCCAAGACGAACGTCCTGACTTCTGAAATCCTATGACCAAAAGCTTTCACTTAGATCCTATTTATCAATGGTGAGAACACTTGAAAGTCTCACTCACGTCGGAAATTAAGTAAAAACATAAAAAAGGTCCTTCTGTTAAGATACAATAAACCATGACCCGCTTTTGACTTCTGGCCTAGAGTTTCCGGAGAGTCGGTTAATTCATTAACTACAAAGGACACACAGGAGCATGTGTAAAGAGACACATTTAAATAAAGAAAAGATAAAGTGTATTATCTGTGGTGTGTGTGTCACATGGCAGGCCAAGGGCTGCAGTCAGCCAGGCCCGTTGGCAATAGGACAAGCCCATTGTTAAAGGGGCATCGTGCCAGCGAGCCCAGTGACTGATATATAGAGGGTGCCAACATTGTCCATTTCAGGAAAGAAACGAGGGGAAAATTCATTTAGACATCAAGCCCTGTTATCATGCTATCTCAGTAATGAAGAGCAGAAGCGTGTCCCGTGTGTATACTGTAACATCCTGCACAATGTACTGACTGTCCTTGGGGACAGGCCCCAAGGAGCTTTGTCAGACGGCAGACTCCTCCAAATCAGAAGTCTGACTACAGGAGAGGCAGAGCAGGACCCCCCAACTCCAACTGCTCCCCTTTCAGAAGCAGCAAACGGAGGGCCTTCCAGGGGCCATCTTCCCTCCAGGGAGGTAGGTGAAGCTCTAGAACGAGCCCGGCCGCACACACCACTAGGGTGGGGCCCACCAAGGTTTGTCAACTGCCTGAATTTTGCTGTCAAGGTCTTCTACACAGTATCCTTGCAAGGAAAGCACTTTAAAAATACTAACAGGCACATTCCCACCGTGTGACAAGCAGCACATCCCATCCTATGTGGGAAGAGGGAGGGGCCGGCTGCCATCAGCAACACTCCTCTGAGAATACCACAGGGTGGTACACAGGTTAGTGTCCCTTGGGACAGCGTGACACCATCCCCACCGTGTGAAGACTGTTCCCGATGAGAGAAACAGGAACGTGGGGAGTAGCCGAGAGACACACAAGTGACTCCTGAGAATGGAAGCAAACTGGTACAGCTTCCAGCTGGACCGACGTTAAGAGGGAAGTGCCGTGATGGGCGGGTGTTGAATGATTCCATTTACAGCTCTGATTTAACTGCCACCTGTCACAGACCACTTGCATTTGTTCCCGTCTCTGCACCTGTAGACATCCAGATGCAACACTAAAATCACAGCAGCCAAACTGGGCTTTCACGAGCCTGGGCCGCCCGCTTCCTGACACCTATCCTCTAATATGGAAACCCTGGTGGCCTAGTGGTTAAGAGCTCGGCAGCTAACCAAAAGGTCAGCAGTTTGAATCCACCAGGTGCTCCCTGGAAACCCTATGGGGCAGTTCTACTCTGTCCTATAGGGCCACTAGGAGTCAGAATCAACTCGAGAACAACAGTTTTTTTCTTTTTTTTTAATCCTCTAATAATGCCAGAGCAAACACGCTCTGAAGCTATTGATAAAGAGCTGCTGGTGTGATCACCAACCCCTGGTGGGGCAGTGGTTGAGGGCTTGGCTGCTAACCAAAAGGTCGGCAGTTTGAATCCACCAGCCGCTCCTTGGAAACCCTCCAGGGCAGTTCTCCTCTGTCTATAGGATCATGATGTATCCGAATCGACTCGATGGCAACAGGTTTGGTTTTGATTCTTCGGGTGCAGTCACGGACTCTTGGCAGACACCCATTCTGTCTGGTGAAAAGCACTCCTTCCACCCTTGTCCTCAGAACTCAACGCAGACCAAAGCTCCCTGTGCACTGCCCTCTGACTCCTTTACTAACGAATTTCAAACAGGCTGCGCTGCTAACGTCATCAACACTAAGCAGATACGGAAGCAGGTAAGAAGGAACAGATAAGAAGCAACTGTCCTACCTAGAGCGAATATTCAGTGAGGTCGACAGAGAAGAGGGGCTTTGCTAGGCGGGTGTCTAACAGACCTCCACAGAGCCCAGGCTAACCTGAGATGGAAACATCAGCCGCTCCAGCTGGGCCCGGGTCAGCCTTCACCTTAAAGGTCAGGAAAGTGAAGAGCCCACCTGTAAGCTCCACTGCCAACAACTAGGAGGCCTGCTGGTGCAACAGCTGAGCGCTCGGCTGCTAAACAAAAGGTTGGCAACTCAAACCCACCCAGCGGCTCTGCGGAGAAAGACCTGGCGATCCGCTTCCATAAAGACTACAGTCAAGAAACCCTGTGGGGCAGTTTTACTCTGTCCAATGGGGTCGCTATGACTACGAGCTGACTCGACAGCAGGGAGTTTGGTTTTTAGTTTTATGTTAAAAAAAAAAAAAAAGAGTCAGCGCTGTTTACATAAAACTCAAGCCTCACTGGGCATCTGTATCAGAATCAACTTGATGGCACCCAACAACAGGGATGTCGATGAAGACTCCACACGCGGCAGCTTAAATCCTGCCACGATTTTCCCCAACCCTCGCCAGCCCCACTTCTCACTGCTCCCCCTGCCCAGCAACACTCAACTTCCCCCGACTTCTGGAACTCTTTGGGCCTCAGACCATGCACTCTCCTCCACTACAAATGCCCCCTAACACACACCCAGCATCCCAATTACTTGTTTCTAGGTCAGTCTTCCCAGGAACTCAGCTCCTCAAGGATAGAAACTCGGTCTGCTGGTCACCACAGTGGCTCCAGCACCGGACACAGTCAACAGGCAGAATATAAACAAATGGAGAAAAGCCTGCTGCAGGCCTGGAAAGTGCAGGCACTGAATCCCTTGCTTTAAAGGGGCAGGCCCCATAGCCTTACTTTGATAAAGCCTTCCTTTCCTGCCCTTAAGGCACACAACAGCCCTAAGTATTCACAGCTGCACACCTGGAACGCCTTGGGGTCTCACCTCTGAACGGTGAGCAGTGGAGGGGTGGCCCATCACACACCTAGTCCCTCCCAGTTCTCCAGGTGCCTGAGACACTGTCTGGGAGGCAGATGATGAGGGGGGCCTTGGAGCCGGGCAGCCCAGCCTTAAATCCTGGCCCCTCCACCAACCAGCTGTAGTACCTCGAGCATTTTATAGCTGTACCTCCAGACTCGAAATCTAAGGCTGAAGATATAATAGGTCTTCCCTCGAGGGTGGTGGAGAGGTTAAACGAGATGCGGTCCGCCAGACGCTGTGCCAAGCCAGGGCGCCATCCGCACAACAGGGAGCACTCCCGGGACCCCAGCCCCGCGGCCACTTCCCACGGCAGCGCTGGCCCCTGGTCCTGGCTATCGGGGCGGGACTGCCTCAGAGAGTCACGCGCGAGGGGAACAGCAGAAGTTCCGCCAAAGCCAGGAACCGCCCCCCGTGTCCAGATCACCCAGGACGGCCCGCCCGTGTCGGCTCTTCGGCCGACGTCCGGCGCCCCCAGACTCAATACAGCCCCGCGGTGGTGGGACTGGGCGTGGCTACTGGAGGGCACCCCAACTTTGGGGCTGTCAGACGCGAGTCTCCCTGCCGGCCGCGCTCGGGAATCCCGGGGAAGGCCCGGGGTCACCGTGTCTGCGGGGGAAGCCGCGCTCCGCGGGGCGGGCCCGGCGACTGTGGCGCAGCCGCTCGGGGGCGCGGCCGGGGAGGGAAGAGAGCCCGCCCGCGACCCCTCGACCGACTCT